AGATGATTAAGGACATTAAATATAAATATCTGTAGTGTAATTAAAAATATTATTTATGAATAGTTAGCCATTTTTGGTTTATATAAAGGAATTACACACATAAGAATAACAAGGATAACAAAAAGGGATCAAATGAAATTAATACTTACAAATGATAGTAAGCATTTACATATAAACCCATAATATACAAGACAATATTATAATGAAGACAAACATAATAATGTGCCCTAAACATGAACTTTCTCCTATTGTGCATATGATCACGAATGGTTTAGAAAAACTTTGTCTGAAAATACATTTAAGAATATTAGCATTAACATAATATCCATATAATCCCATGAATAAAAATATATATTTAGATGAGAGAAGACTGGTTTTAAAAGATTGGTAAAAACGATGTTAATAAAAAATGATGTTAATAAAAAATAAACCATCAGAAATTTTAAAAAATTATAAAAATTTCAAAAATATTATAAAAGAATTATAATTAAAAAAATATATTAAAATAAAAGCATTATAAAAAAAAGTCCTTCACAAATACACTTACAGATTTTGGGAGCTCATGAAAGCTCCACTTTTATGAGCGTGAGCGGTACAATGCCCACTTCTTAATTCATGTGGGTTCCCTTGGTCTCAGTCAGCAGTCTCGGAGTTTGTATAAAAAAATTTAAAACATACAGATAGACTAAACTAGTATAGTATATCTGATATAAATGGATAAACAATAAAATGCCCTCACGTGGTATAGAGCCCTTATTTAGATGCTGGTGACCGACAATACTCTCCATGTATAGGGTATGCAATAAAATAGAAAAAAGAAATATAGTGCACACTGTCAAACTGAGTTTTGCTTAATCCAAATAGCTTAGGTGGTATATGTTCCCCAGCAAGAAAAGCGACATCCAGTTATGATTAATTAAAAGCAGGAGTGTCCAGGGTGTCTTAAATAAATAAATGAATCTTAATTCTGACACATTAAGCTAAAAAAACTTAAAAAGAACAATCAAAAATAGAGTAAAAAGTAACAACACGTTTCACCAATGTGGCTTTTTTTAAAGATTTTTTGTGCTTAAAGTTTCCTTTTAATCTTTTAATGTCCATCAAAAATGCCACCAATGGAAAGGAAGAAAGGGTCGTTTTTAGAGCGCATAAGGTTACTTTTTATCCTTACCTCACAGGACCTTTGGCCCTCGGCTTCTATCGAACGAGATTTAAAGAACATTCACAAAAAAAAGATTACCCAGTG